CATGAGAGAGACAACAAACTCCTGGCAGACAATCACAGCTCCTCCCGGAAAGAGAAGGTGTGTTTTGAATGAATCAGTGGACAGCCATTCGGAAAAAGGCCTCCAGAGTCTTCTGGATCAAGATACTGGACCCAAACACCTCCCTTCCATGGTCTCATTCAAATAACCAGAAAGGTTTTAAAGGAAAGAAGCCATAATCATAGTTCTATTTATTGACATTACTATATGCTAGGAATTCAGAGGTGACTATGGAGTTGTCTCCTCTTTTATGGACCTTACTTTCTTTTTGACATAGTTGGGGAACTTGGTGGAGGGTGGTGTTAGTCTGATGCAAATAGCCAGGAGAGGAGTTTAAGAAAGCAGTGAAGGGTGGGTGACATTTTTAGCTGAGGACAGCCCTGTTCAGTTGGCTTGTAATTGCAGGCTCATTGAGTTGTCACTGGAGGGAATTAATCTTATGGAATTTTGACTTAACTCAGGCCTCTTCAGAATGGACAAGTGAACCTGGAGAAAGACAGTCAAATCTGTGCAGATATTGAAGTTCACTTGAACGTGCGTTATCCCTGAGCCAAAGATAGGACAAATAGGCAGCACTTTTTGAGGACAGAGGAATGGTTTTTAAGGTTCTCCAAGAATGAATCCCAAGGTACCGGGATGGCCAGTTGTCAAACTGTGACTTTGCTCTTTGGACGGTTTATCCACCAAGGATATTGGCCTTTTATAAATTTCCATATCTCTTTAATACATGACAGGTTATGAGGACGTGGGCATAAACGTTTCACACCTTGTGGAGGTGACTTTGTGTACCTGCCTATAAGCGCGGGCACAGTTGCTGCTGCGTCATACATCTTGCCGCACATCCCGCTCCCCGGGCTCCGTGATCACGGCAGAGTGGTTCCTTATTGAGCTGTCCATCTCCTCTGTGACATCGTAACCAAACAAAAGACTGGAGCGTATTAGTTTGGCTTTGTTTTTTTCTATCCTTCCCTTCGAATGATGATGACTGATAGTGGACCCAGTTACGTTTGCAGATGATTTACAAGTAGGGCTGTCAGTACAAACCTTGTAATCCCCGCTGTGTGATCTAGAGAAGAAAGTTACACTCTTTCCAAATTGTTTTAATGCACTTATGTGGGAAAATGATATACATTTGAATATGTATTTCCTCTCTGAATCATCATGGCTAGAGATGAATATTTGTAGACATGGAATGAGTACTCTATATTTGAACTGTATGGTCCCCTAAATTCTCCCCAGCTTTTTAAAGTCATCACTGGAGTGCTACCTCCAGAGTGTCCCAAAGCATCCACCATTGTCTGTTCTTCAGACACTGTGAATTTCCATGTTGGAGAAGGCTGCTGGCTGGTGAGGCATTCTTTGGCACATCTCTGGCTGGCTGATGTGAGCTTAGCACCCAAGACTTGGCAGACAGTAACTAACCACGGTCACGACCATTTCTGGAACACTCATGGAGGATTTTACACCTATGCTAATGGAATACGTTATTTCATTTAGTTTTCCCAACAATCATAATCAGATTTTATCACATGTATTAAAAAGGAAACCGTCAAAGCGAGTGACGTGCAGTCTTTGGACTGAAACACAGGTCTTTCTGATCCCTGTCTCTGTTCCCTCCCCGGCCTATGCTTCCAAATGGCAAGGAGACTCTTCCTCAGTCTTGAGTTTCCCGCTGATGTTACAACTTTCTTTGTTTCTGGAGATGAAAACAAGTCTAAAGTTCCTTACCAGTTGGAAATGAAATGGAGAGTTAACGTTGGAAGCCGGGAGAGTCTGTCCTGCGATGAAGTGGTCTCCGAGCCACTTCCACTGGGCTGTCACGTCCCTGTCTGGGCCCCTTGCTCATCCTGTGCTCAGGTGACAGCGCAGAGGTGCCGAGCAGTCCTCCCGGACAGGGCAGTGGGTTGGAAATGAGTTTGGGGATTTGGTTTCATTACACAAGTTCCTGAGGGCCTTGACTTGGCACTTCGAGTAGGAGCATTCCCTGTCCCACAGACTCGTGCTCTGGGCGTATGCAGACCTGACGTGGCCTCAGCCTAAGGCTCAGGGCCCGTGGTGATGAGGAGCATTTTAGTCCAGGGTCTGCCGGAGGCTCTGACACTTCTGGGCTGTGGGACTTTGCCCAAGATGATAATAATTCCTCCCCGAGTTTCAGATTTCCTTGCCTGTGAGCCGGGGTAGTAATAGTTTCTGAGATGATTGTAGTGATTCAGTAACGGGCGCAGCGTGTGCTGGCAGGTAGCTGGTGCTTAAGGTGCAGAAGTCGCAGTCACACTGTCAGCCTCTCACTGTGCGCTCTGTGCTTTGAGAGGTTGTGTGTTTGGTGAATGTCCCGCCC